TATCAACAAGATGATTGGTATAAGCTGTTATCTATGGCCGAATTCGCATACAACAATGGAAAGCAAGAAACAATCGGCACGACACCCTTCTTCACGAATTATGGACAACATCCACAAAGTCAGACCACATATCATATGATTAATGATGTGATACTGGATAAAACCGATATGGGGAAACTACACGAAACATTACAATACAAAATGAGTCAAGCTCAACAACGACAAAAGGAACAATACGATAAACACCGAAGACCAGATCTGAACATACAACTGGGAGATATGGTATGGCTAATACCACGCAATATCCATACGACACGACCATCAAAGAAATTGGACTACAAGAAAATCGGACCATTCAGGATATTGGAAAGAGTGGGCAGCCGAGCTTATAAACTCAACCTTCCCCCCTCAATGCAAATACATAACACATTCCACATCTCACTCCTCTAATTACACAACAACAACAAGTTTCTCTCACGAACACTTATTCCTCGTCCTCCAATTGAACTCAACGGAGAACCAGAATACGAGCTCGACAAAATAGTCGATTCCCACTTCTTCCACGGTTCCCTCCAATACCAAGCCAAGTGGACAGGATATTCGCCCGAACACGATAAAACTTGGTACTTCACATAAAACTTTGAACACGCACAAGGTGCCATCTCAACCTTCTACCAGCGATACGCGAGCAAGCCCAGCCCAGGTGACGATCACGTTCAACCAAGACAAAGACGAGGGAAAGGCTCCCACACTGTTGCAATCACACGAGGGCTGGGGCAATAGCCCACGCCACACCACACCCACCAGCCCCAAATACTCAATCATTCATGTGGCCGACTGACGAAGAACTCAAGGAAAGAGAACAACAAGCACAGCATAATGCCATGTCGTGGACGGTATGCTACGATGACGGTTGCCAAACACATTTTGGCGACAAAGAAGGCTTGGGATAGTTCCCGAGGGAATGTCGAAAGCATGGCCCATGCCCGGACCACGTTCTGAAGCATTAGCAACAATGCTTCGGAAATGGGTGCAGGATGTACAGGGTACAGAAAATAACTGCGGGATTCTACCCACAGAAGGATGGGAGCAGGAAAGAGTTGGAAGAAGAGGATGCCAGAAAGGCATGGGCCGCGAGGACGCGGTCCAGGAAGGGAGGGGCCCAAAACTCCTCAGCAGACACGGAACCAAACGTCAGGAGCCTACCCAGGCAGATCCGGAGACTCCGAGAACAACTTGGCCAAGCCGAGGCCACAATTTCTGCAAACAATAAAATGATCGCGGAGCTAAGACAGCTGAACAATAATCAGAGACACATGATCGAGATGGCGAATCTGACCCTAGAATCGGTAAGAGTCAGATGGAGGACTGCAGACGAAAAGTTCCACAAGCTGAGAAGGACCATGCGCTTGGCAGGACGGGAACTATTGAAACTGGGAGAAAAAGCCTGATGGGACTCAGGCTTAGGAGGAGGGAAGCTAATGTCACGAACGTGGCTTAGCATAAAAGAGGTTTTCATGTGACACATAGTTATGAGTCACAGGTATGTTATTATTTCGCACATATGACTCATTCGGGTCATATGACTTATTTATTGCGTTATGATTGGTTTATGAGTTTTTGTACATGGCCTCCCTATGAGGTCATGGGTTTTGAGCATGTGATCACTTTGGTCACATGACTAGTTTGTTATGATTTGGTTTCACACATGTGACCACTTTAGGTCACATGACTATAGGCGGAAAGAATACTATATAAGGAGGCCGATGTGGCCGAGGAAGATAGATTCTTCATGCTTTGTTCTAAGTACTTTTCCTACTTATTACTTTAACGAATATAAAACAACTTTACGATCTTTATCTTTATTGCAATGTTATTGTTACGCTAAGGAGGGCTCTTCATGAAGAAGAGTTAGAGAAAACTTACGATAGGCGTTTCCGATAGAAGACAAAGGTCTTGTACTATCGGTAATGTAGGCAGAGGCCTAGCACTATTATAAGACGAAGGAAGAAGAAGAAAGAGAAGAGAAGTATCATTCCCCGTCGTCAATAACTAACCATCCAAGGAGGGATCATTACAGTAATCTATTTTGTTATTCACACTTCATGTAAAACACAATCAATAGTACACACAGAAACATATAGTATAGGATAATTCCAAACTCTATCCAACTCATATTATAGTCTTTCTGAGCAACACAAACAATGACTTGACACTTGTAATTGTTAAGGATAACCGGTCTTCTGGAGTGAGTGTTAGGTAGAGATAACCTGATAAACTTTAGTATTGTCTAGGCCAACCAAAATTCGTTTCTGTAGACAGAGATTGTCTAGGAAGGCTCAGACTTCACTCGTTTCATTTATGACTACTAAGAGTAAAGTAAAATGGGTAAAGTAGAATTGAATTGTAAAGATAATATTATATTGTTAAGGTTTCTTCTCCATTGCTTGATCATCTTTCATCAGCTTAGAGGTACTCCTTGTGTCAAAGTATTAATTATATAAATTACTAAAATAAGTTTGACCTCAGTGGGAGTTAAACACCTGACCTTACAAATCAATGCATAGGTCATACCAACTAAACTAGTATATAGTGTCTCTTTCTAGTTATGGTAGGGTAGATGCGAATGTATTGGTTTCTCATTGAGATCCTTTATTATTTGATACCTTCTCTTTGTGCGAAAACGTCCCGTTACTTACAGCCCATACCAAGAGGTTACATCTTTGATACCTAGTAGCTCTCTGAGTAGTTGACAAATTTACTTCGTTCTACTTCCCAGACCTATCAGAAGGTCCCCTCACATGTAGTCTGTGAACAGGTTCCGGTTGGACAGACAGCGGTGATGTATATGGTATTATTCTGGCACTTTCAATTCTGTGGTATTATAGTCACAGGACGCAACTGAGATGGATATGTATGATAACGTGTGGGCCCTGTAAGGGAATCAGAGGGGAGTGTTGGAGACCAGGGATTCTGATTCTGAGTAGGATTACCCTACTTAGGGTGATTCCTAGGTATTGGATCTCGGTATTCCTAACAGTGTGAAATATTTTCAATAATATCACAGTTACAGGTATGCGCAAGAAAATTCTAAATGGTTAACTTGGACAGCCAACAATAGTTACAATAACAGAAATCTTATGAAAGACAGGGAAAAGGCAATAATCAGGCCTTTTTCCACGTCTGTCATTTCTCTCCAACTGGTTTTTAAATTGTAATAAGAAGGTGATGACTTTTTAAATAGCATTATATAACATTCTTTTGTATTTACAAAATTCACATACCCAGCTCTTGTATCATAACATTGCTGAATCATCACTTATTTAGTATAACCAAGACTTTTAGCTAGTTTCTGTATATTCTATTAGTGGAAAAAAACTATTCTTGGTCACATATAAACCATCACATCAATTCTACATTTTCTCAAATTGAGGCCTGTATTGCAGAAGAGGGTAGTGTCATGAACATGGCTTAATGAGGAAAGGGTTTTCACGTGACGCATAGTTATGAGTCACAGGTATGTTATTGTTTCGCGCATATGACCTTTTCGGGTTATATGATTAGAGACGATCGTCGCAATAGATTTGTGATGCTTTCGCACATGGCTCAAGTATGAGTCATGGAACATGCGCCTGATGAGTATGCCTTGCGAGTGTGCCTTACGGGTAAGCCTTGCGCATATGATTTATGTTTTGCACATGACCTCATTATGAGGTCATGGGTTTCGTGCATATGACTCAGTTGAGTCATATGACTTGTTTATTGCATTATGATTGGTTTATGAGTTTTGCACATGACCTCGCTATGAGGTCATGGGTTTTGAGTATGTGATCACTTTGGTCATATGACTAGTTTGTTATGATTTGGTTTCGCACATGTGACCACTTTAGGTCACATGACTAAAAGGTGGGAAGAACACTATATAAGGAGGCCAATGCGGCCGAGGAAGATAGGTTCTTCACGCTTTGTTCTAAGTACTTTTCCTACTTATTACTTTAATGAATATAAAACACCTTTACGATCTTTATCCTTATTGCAACGTTATCGTTACGCCAAGGAAGGCGCTTTACGAAAAAGAGTTAGAGAAAGCTTACGATAGGCGTTCCTGGTAGAAGACAAGGGTCTTGTACTATCGGTAACGTAGGCAGAGGCCTAGAGCTATCATAAGACAAAGGAAGAAGACAGGAAGAGAAGTATCGTTCCCCGTCGCCAAGCACTAACTATCCAGAGAGGGATCATTACAGGTAGGAACAATTTCAATTTCTAGTTAATTATATTTTTTTTTTTTTTTGTTTATTTATTTATTTTGTTATTTTGTTACTTGCCCATTTTCTCCTAAAGTACTGCAGGGAAATAATATATTATTGTTGATATAAGAACAAGTATATATTGTCTGTGCCACACTAATTACCCAAAAACCTCCCAGTGCACACTAATTCACGCTAATGCAAACCTGGTCGTGCCCACAAAGGTTAGGACATTACGAGTACAGCTGTGATCGGTCTTGTCTGGAACGGCAGGTCAACGGTCCATAGATAACCGAACGGAACCTTAGCCCTCAGCTGAGACAAATAAAAAGGAAAAATACAATAGACCTTAGTAGGAGAGGCAACTCCAATGTCCTAGCTCCATTCCCAATTATTTCGTTTTTTAAAGTATTCGACAGCAACAATGGAGCCTAAATGCAATTCATTGAATCCATGTTTTTCCTTATATTTTCAGGATAGTAGTGAATCCGCATATCGAATCAGTCCATGTGCGATATCTCTCAGAACCTGACAATCCATGGCAAAGTAATTAAACAATAGCATTGTGAAACTTTTGTTTCCCAGTTTCTCGCCCTAAACCGATCCCGTCTGATCCATGTTCGGCCGACGTCTGCTTGAATAGACACCCGAGGCCATGTGCCGATCGACGTCATCCCGGAGCCTCAACCCAACCTCGAAAATTTCCCTCAGCATCAAATTTCTCGACATAGAGAGCAAACATCAGAATAATCAATGGTCTCACGATTTATTTTCCCATCAACAGCTTTCCTGGGGCTCGCTGCGTACACGCTGCGGTCTCCTAGCTCTATTATCCGCCATGTTCATTGCGAGTCCCACGATTGGGAATTCGCCAGGGCTCCCAATAATCAGTCACCATTGGCAACTAAACCCCGGACTACCTTCTCCCCTTTGATCTATCGTCAAGTTGCATCCGGGTCTTTTATCGGTCTCGCTGCTGGGCTGGCTATCTGCAGGTTTAGCAAATCGATCGCCTTGATATTCGGGAGTTTGCTGTTGCTTGTTGAGGTATCGAACAAAGCAGAAATTATCCATGGCTGGTATTCCCTAACAGTCAAGTATGCTAACGGATTGGTTTTTAGTTTCTGGCCATGAAAGGGTTTCATGTCATTCCGTATAAACGTTTGTCTAGGTGGACGAAGAATATTGATCTGAAAGATCTTATTACAAGAAATATGGCGTTTAAGTAAGTATTTTTGAGTTTGGGGTCTGCTCTCTTAGTACTAGCGTGAGATTTAGAGAAGGTTTTCTGCTGATCGCACTTGTAGGGTATCTTTTGGTGCAGCTTTTGCGTTATCGTCATATAATTGAGCCTTAGTGGAGCCCAGGTTGCAGAATGAATACATACAATCGAGTGTCATGTATTATATCCATAAATACTACTACCGTTTTTCGGATACTGAAACCTAACCTCTCCTTTGGCCGCTCTAGAACCACCTGGCTGGAGGGCACCCTCTTTCATGAAATTAAAGACATTGTTTTTATTTTATTTTGTAGATCCCTGGGTTACTTGTACGCTAGAATATCAGGGACTTTGATAGGGCACTATGCATCAGCACTTGCACTGTTCCAACCTCAAACACCAGCAGGGCTCGTCAGAAACCCCGACCGCCAACCAAGCCTGCGGATAAAAACACCAGGAGCCTTATTTTCGCGCCGGAAACCTAATTCTTTCACCAATGAGACTGTCTAAATTATCACTACGTCCAAGAAGTCACAAGAGCTGTGGGGGGGGGGGCAGATTCGTTTTGGCTGCGCTCGTAACCCGTTCCCGTCACGGCACTGCTCCTCGCACAGGCAATGTGGACTGTCTTTTGGGCGGTCTGAAACAATAATAGTTATACCCCCAAAACATCAAGCACAAGCTACAACTAATTATCCAGCCTTGAAAACTTGTGATATTTTAGGGATGTGGGTGACCATTTCAATGCTAATGCCCAGGATTCCTTTGTGACCTTATTTACTATCAATGTTATTGAAGCCCGTATGCAGTTAGCGCGCAAGTCGTTTTGGTGGCCTACCATTCCATCGCCCTAGATACAACCCCTAGTGAGCCCTAGTACCAATATGGTTCTCAATGGTCGACCAAGCCCAACCCATTCCATAGGCAACACCGGTAATTGCCAATTGTCAATGGTTATCAAGGGTGCTTTGCTCAATTGTTTCTTTCATTCATTGAGAAGTGTTACAGTTTTTTTTTTTTTGACAGTGGGGTATGCACTCGTGCTCAATGACTATGCATCCATAAAATTCTATAGGCCCAAAGATGGAACATTTTGCCCCCATTGACTACAGTATCGAAGTCTCCCGGTCAGTCCGACCCCCACCAATAGATTGTCTCAATAGCCATGAAGCCCATCAAACAGTGCCGAGAGTATATATCTCCCTTTCACCAGCTCTGATTCCTTCGACATGATGCTACACACCTTCCTTCCAGATATCTCATGCCGAGCCGGCACATCTGACTATCGACACATGGACACACCTCGTGATTCTAACTCTTTATCCCTCTTGCTAGTATAAAGTACGCCCCCTCTGATCCTTACCCATACTCCCCTTCTTTTTGTGTTCCTCCCTCGCTGAAGAAACTAGTCATTCCTTCGCCATCCAGACTCCCTCACGACCAAATCAAAAAAAAAAAAGATAAAAAATAATAAAAAGATAAAAAAATATGAAAGTCACCATCCTCTTCCTCGCAACACTCCTCAGCGCCGCCCTCTCGGAGCCCATCCCCTGGGAGGTAAACGGCAACCGCGGGGTCTACAGGCGTGAGCCGGAGGCCGAAGCCGAGGCATGGCACCCAAGAGCCGGAGACCCCATGGCTATCTGGCAAAAACGCAATGCAGAGCCCTACCCAGAGGCAGAACCCGAAGCCATCCCGTGGACTCCAAGGTATATAACTGTCCCACATACTCAACAGCTTGGACAAAATGCCAACTAACTGACATCCTTAGACCCGGCCGTGGAGCATACAGACGCCACGCCAGACCCTGGACCCCAAGGTAAATTTCGTGCCACCCCGAGTGACAAATCATGTCCAAGATTTAACCAGCGCTTACTTAGCTGTCATAGGCCTGGCCGCGGTGCATACAGACGCTCTGCCGAAGCCTGGCATCCAAGGTATCGCCCCTTATTCTCCTCCTCCTGTTTCTATGGTGGACTATTGACTGACGTTATATAAACCAGAGCGGGCCCACCAGCCTACACCCTCAGCAAACGTGATGCGGCGCCAGAGCCAGTTCGCTTTCAGCCGATTGGCAGCTTTTATAAGGAATAATTTCCTCACACGCCCCCCTCCTCCGACGTGAACATAGCAAACCAATCCCTATCTTTCCCAGAAAAACCTCTCCGAACCCAAACAGAAACCAATCAACATCACAAAACATCACCCTTATCTAACAATTTTCATCATTACCACCAACACCACCCCAGCGCCGTTCCAGACCCGACAACCAGAAGTGGATTTTTCGGAATGATACTCGACACCAACCCCGCTTTCTTCCTACCGCCCCGGTCAAATTTTCCTCTTTTTTAATTCACAATTTCGTGATCTCCATCCACTATCCTTACCTCCACCCTTACCTTTCTTTGGCACTTACCGTACATGTATCGGGAAATCCGGCAGACCTTGATGCCTACTGGATTCTCATATCTACTTGTTTATCTATTTATTTATGCGCTTATCGAGACGCAATGAAGGCAATGGTAGACACTATACGGGAACTTATCTATCCATGACACCTCTCCAAAAAAAACGAAAAAGAGACGACCAGAACCGAAAACGATGGAGTGTGGGTTTTTCCTTTTACTCATTTCATTTCATCCCCACTTTTATTTCATATTACTCCCACTCTCACATCTATATTTTATATGTACCTTTATTCCCCTCTCAGGCGGGCTTGGATCGTCGAAACGGATTCGACATTCACCCGCGCCCCGAGGGCTAGTTTCTTACTCTTATCTAATCTTCCCTTCTCACCTCTTCCTTGCTTCGCAGGAGGGTCTGGCCCGGACACCCAGACATCTTCTTGCCCTGCTCTTTTTGTGGAAAAGTGGGACGGACGGACGGACGGACGGGAGCCCGACCTTGAATGTTTGAAATCGCATATATTTTTTAAGTACCCTTCCAAACAGGAAGGGTTCTGTACCTAGCTACGTAGCTACTCTTGTATAGTAGCCTTTTGGTAATTAGGGTGATAAATAAAGAGTTTTTCGCCCTACTCTGTTTTCTCCTTCTCTCTCTTTTTTCTTCTTTCCTTCTTTCCGCCAAAGTGATTGTATACCCACAGTAGACGGATGAAGTGAAGCTTGATATCCAGCACTTGTTGTGGCTCCTCAGACGTGATATATTCACGGAAGTGGTGTCCTCGGGTCGTGACGGTTATTGCTGTCTGTAAAGGTCTTTGATGTCCGGGTGGCGGAAGTGGCTCTGAAAAAAAGGGAAGTGATGGCGCTGCAGCTCTCTCTCTAGTTTACATCGCCTTTGTCTTTGCTTTAGCTTTGACTTCGCTCCCCTTACGATCCCGATAAATGGGGGGCGCCGCGCCACTAGGACTG